CCTCCTTTTTTGTGTTATGTGCATGAGAAATAAATACCTACTTTGTTTTAAAAGAATAGTAGTTCAGCATCTGCTGGTCATGTTTCTGGGAGGGCAGGCTTTCCTGTCCCAGAGGGTTAGTGTCACAGACACCTGAGGCTTCTGTCCATTGAAGCCCAAGGATTCTGCAGGGTCGAGTCCCTGTGGGTGCGTGGCCCAGAGGGGTCACTGGGTGGCGTGTGGAATTTTCAGGCTTGCTTTGGCGTGGATGTGAAACTCTTGAGAGCAGGGAGGGGACCATCAATTAACAATGTTTTCCACCCTGGAAAGTGAGGTGCAGTAGCAAGGATTTGGCTTGCTTTTGGTAATTGTCAAAACCAGACTTGCACACATAGTTTGTTAATCAGAAGAGCAGTTTGTGGGAGGAGGCTGCCTGCTTCTAGGATAGTGTCTGAATTCTGCAAGATGGAGACCATGATGTGTCCAGCTCCCCGCTGACACCTTGGGCCACTGCATCACTCCCCACCTCCTTGGGTCCAGTCGCTTCCCCAGCTGAGATGGAATTCTGAAAACCCCTGCCCAAAGGAATGGTAGTTTGAAGAAAATGCCACTGGGCTTTCTTGCCTCTTCGGCTGCAGAAGTTGCTTGGTTATAGAAATATAACAGTTTTCTGTGTGAGTGAGTAAAGATACATGTCCACACAGCTTGCAGGCGTTTTCTTCCAGAGCTTTGTTTCTTGTTGAAATTTAAAACTTCAGTATTATAGCTTAGTTTTCCCTATGATTTATTATGTTCATGTTATTTTTTCCCTGCTTTTTTCCCTTATATCTTTACTTGTGTAAGCTCAGATAACTTAGTCGAGATATGGAAGGTGTGCTTTTCTGGGGCCTCTTGGTTGAGTGGTGTCATTTGCTTGGCTGTTAAGCCATACTGTTGTGGAAGGGTGGCTAATATTTTGGCTGTATATGTTAATTCCATTCCATTAGGGAATTTTCTAGCGGACTTTCGGCCAAAGTTATGTTTCAAAGATATCTAGATTTTTTTTTTAGTCTGTAGTACTTTCATTCTCTGGTTATCTAATATGATCATATAACTTTTAAACTTTTGTATCAGTGTAATTTTTGTTTAGTGTGCTAGTACATGTGTGTAGTACATATTGTTTGCATTCCTTGTGGGAAGTTGGTACATGTACATAACACATACTAATTTCTTTTTTCATCCCCCGTTTTTACCCTTCCTTCCCCCTCTCCCCATCCCTTGATCCCTTTCCTTTTTTCATACATGTTTGCAGGACATAATGTTTACATTCCTTGTGTGGAGTTGGTGTATGTACACAACACACCCCAGTTACTTTTTTTTTGGTACCGGGGATCAAACTTGGGACCTTGCACTTGTGAGGCAGGCAGTGGAACCACTGAGCTAACTCCCTGGCCCTCAGTTACTTTGTTTTCATCCTTTATCTCATCCCTCCCTCTCCCCAGTGTCAGTGTAGTTTTAATAATGATTTCACCCTAGGTCATTGTGGTGGCTTGGGTTTTATTCTGGCAAAAATCTACAGTCATCTAGTTTCAAACATATGATTTCTTTAAAAGTGCTGAGATGTTTATATTACCTTTAAGTTTATTATGAAATAGTTTTTAAGAAGTATTTACTACTGGGGAAACTACCATCTACATGGTAGTTTAATCTCACCAGGGTCCATGCCAGAGTTCATATAGTTTTGAGGTATATTTCATGAGTTTCCCAGAGAGATTATTTCAACCTTTCAACTGAGTGACGGTGCTGGAGTCCTCGTGATACCAGTCACTAGGTCCCCCCATCCCCCCTTGGGACATATTCCAGACATTCTGACTACGTATTCCAGGCTAGTCTTGAATTCACTATGTAGCCCAGGCTGGCCTTGAACTTGCAGTTATCCTCCTGCCTCAGTGCAGGGATTACAGGTGTGGACGGCACACCTGGCTGGGTTGGTTTGTTTTAAAACAGATATAACACCTATTGGAACCAGAATATTTCAAGTACTGACAGCCCACAGATGGTTTTATGGGCATTTGTTTTAGTGCGGTGATGTTCCTTTGTTTTCAAGTGACGTGACTAAGAACTCTGAGCTATCACTGCCCTCCTTCCTGTGCTGGGGGTGCATGTGAGTGCTGTGACCATGACAGGGAGGGGAAGGTGCCCTTCGCTGAGTGCTTAAGTTGACCTGGGAGAAAGTCCGTTTGCAGGTACTTTAATAGGATCCACTCATTCTTTTCCCACCATCACTTACATTTTCATAAATCTTGACAAAACAAGTGTGAAATGCAGACAGGCGAGAACGTAATCCAATAAGGCAAATTACTTCTTTTTAGGAACCCTGATTTCTAGGTCACCTGGATAATAGCCCTTGTTTTACTCTTTCATTTCTCTTCTATTCCCCAGTCACACATACTCTTCACATTTGCCTTATTTAAATGTCACTTTGCAAAAACAGCAGTGGGTTTTTGGTTTTTAAGAAAAACATAGCATTTTAAATACTGTGTGGGTTTTTTTAGAGTTGATTCCTACCCACGGGCTCATTTTAAGTGATACCTTTATGTACCTCTGTCATTGCTTGGGAGTATAAAGTACTTTAATAATGCCACACTGAGGTTTTAAATTTGCTGTCTAGTAGCCCAGAAAAACTTAGTCATTGCTCCTATATAGGAGATTTTTTTTTTCCCTGTAATTAACCATTATTTCTTTTTGTTTTTCCTTTTCCTTTTGTTTTTTTGAGACAGGGTCTTGCTATGTAGCCCAGGCTGGCCTTGAACTCATTGTAATCCTGCCTCAGCCTCCTGAGTGGTGGGATTACAAGCTTGTGCCAGCATGCCTCCCTTGTAATTAAGCATAATTAATAATAAAGTTTTATTTCACAAATAAAAACACTAGCTTATTTTTGTGTGTGTGTGTGTGTGTGTGTGTGTGTGTGTGTGTGTGTGGTTTTACTGAGGATTGAAGTCGGGGCCTTTGCACTGTGCTATGCCCCCAGTGCTTTTTATTTTTTATTTTGAGACAGGGTCTCACTAAGTTGTCTAGATGAGACTTGGATTTTCTATCCTCTTGCTTCAGCCTCCCAGAGTGCTGGGGTTACAGGTGAGCACATCACTGTGCCTTGCTCTAGCTTAACTTTTTAAGGAAAGATAGAATTGAGTGGTCTTCCTTTGCTTAAAATATAAAATCAGAACTGCTTCCTGTGCTCTTTAGGGTCCCTACATGACTCGGTGACGAGGCGTTCAGGTCTCACCCCTTGCTGCTGCCCTCACCCATCTGACCTAGCCCCAGGACCTTACAGAGGCTAGTCTGCCTGCTTGGAATATTCTTCTGTCATATTCCCCAAACTCCCCTGCTTCTAATTGTCAGTCCAGTCTCAGGGCAGATACCATCTTAGAAACCTCTGCAGTAGCTGTTCTGCTAAAGCTGCCTGTTTGTTGGGGAAATTACCCTGTGCATTTGTTTTCTTATGTACTTTCCATCCTTCCTGCTGGAATATGCACTCCAAGCGGAGGCTGGGGCCTTTGGTCTGTCTGCTTCATTGCTGTACTGCCCTTCATCTCCGCCAGGAAGTACTCAAGAAATACTTGTGAAACAGACAAATACGGGTTAATGAAGAACAGAGGAAATAAGCCATTCTTGATAGTTTTCTTTGGCTTGGTAATACTTAGGTTATTTTCTTCTGAATGCCTGATTCCAGGACATAGTTAATCTGTTATCAGTGAAGAAGCTTAGTCCAGTAGTATCTGTTCTAAAGGCAATGTTACCCAAAGGCCAAGCACCTAACAACCTGTTTTTCAGGTTTGTAGCAAGTAAGTAGCTACAACTTGCTGGGGGATCTGGCTACCTGCTTCTTGAGTGCTGAGGTGTGTTTGAACTCTTGGCTTCTTGGCAGGTGGATCTGACTGTGCCCCAGATCTAGGTTTAGAGGGATTCGTGGTGCATTGCCTGCCAGTGGTCCCAGAAGGGCTGTTGTGGCTCAGTGGTCACCTAGTGGTTGTGTGCTGAGTCATTGCCCAATGCCCGGCATTGGGAGGCTGTGGCAGCTCAGGCAGTTTCTTCGAGAAATGTTTCCTCTTGTCAGAGGAGTATGGAATGGGCATTGCCCTTCCTCTGCAACTCGGCCGGGTCCTCAACCCACGGTAGACCTCTCCTGAGCAAGTCTGGTTTAACCTGTGTTCAGCAGTTCTGCCCAAAGTTAACCAGGTTTTTCTGTATTCTGCAAGGAACTTTTTAGTTGCCTCCCTCTTTACTCTTTCTACCCTTGCTGAGGAAATGCTTCCCATTTCACAGCAGCCTCCCAGGGAAGAGTAGCAGGCTGAGGATAACGGGACAGACTGTGGGCCACCTGTTTGTCCCAGATGTGTAGGCTGATTCTGTGTCTGCCCAGTAGAGGTTGAGCAGATGCCAGCACTGCTGTCTGGAGCAAGTTGGCCTGAAATAGAGGTCTTCTGATGGGAATCAGATTATTGGCTCCCTGTCACACTGCTTCCTTGTGTTGTTCAGATCCATCCTGGCTGTAGCCGTGAGAAGTAAAAACCTAGGGCTGGGGATGTAGCTCAGTGGCGCTGTGCCTGCCTGGCAGGCACAAGGTCCTGAGTTCGATTCCCTGTATGAGGAGGGGAGAGTAAAAAAACTAAAGAGTTAAAAACAATCCTTTAGCTTTTCAGCATTTTTTTTGAGGGGGATTGGAAAGGTTACTTTTTCATACTCAGTATGACTCTTGAGCAATTATTTATTCTCAGATTAATGGTAGGATTTTAGTATTTAGGGACTGTCAATTCCTAAGGTAGTTTCAGAGCAGATTTCACTGGAGCTTGGTGGTATTTAGTGGGTTCTGCCCTGGCTTCTTTTCAACTTCACATACTTGACTTCTTATTTTTGGCTAATGAAAGTATGTCTTATAGTTTGTGGTAATTTGAGCAAATGTGGTTTGAATGTAAAACCAGAGAGAAGTTCAATTATTGACAAATCAGTGACAGTGACAAGTTATTTGCCTTCTTTTCCAGATACACATGGGAAGCTGTTGATACCAAAAGTAACAGACTTTATAAAATCAGCGTTTGTGGAAATGTGGATGTCACCCACTGTGGGCCATCCAGTGCAGTCTGTATGCATGACCTGAAGAAAAACAGCTTTCAGTCAGTGGGTGAGTAGAACTATAGTTACACTACAGGATGGGCAACAGGATCCCATTTTTCCGAGAGTGACTTGATGGGTAGCTATTGGACATAGCTATGTACACAATTGCCTATGTTTATAATATATTATATTTTATAATTATTAAAGTGGTAATAATTGAAATCTCCAAACTGAGATAAAATTAGGTTACTTCCATCTTATGGATAGGAGGCAGATAATAATTAGTGAAGGATTGCAGAAAGCTGTTTTCTTTTTTCTTTCTTTTTTTTTGGTACTGGAGATTGAACTTAGGACCTTGCGCTTGCCAGATAGTCACTGTGCTGCTGAGCTACCTCCTGGCCCTATAGAAAGCTGTTTTCTACAAGGCATTCCCTGACCCAAGCTTTTCTGAAACCCCATCTTTACCCTCCACCTTGGTTTTTTTTACTGCCCAGCCCTCACTCTCTTGTGCCTTTCAGCTTTTCTTCTGTGGTGGTTTGACTTTCAGGCAGTGTGTTTTCCTGGTCAGAGATGGTTGCTGCCATTAAGTTTATATGAAAAATTAAACAGACTTGAGACTGGCATTCTCAGAGAAAAAAAAAATGCAATCCTTTCTTTCCTTGGGTTCATATCATTTCCCCATATGCACTTCTTCCTGGACAGGATCCCTTTTCCCTGAGGAGGAATGTGGGTCCAAGTGGATGGACAGCCCTGCCAGATCACCTGAGATGGGGGAAAGGTGGATGCCTCCAGGGAGAATGCAGGGCTCTGGCTTGGGCAGCATGGTGTCTGCAGTAATCTTTGGTCAAGGCAGTTTGAATGTCAGATTTGATATTAATGGCCAGTGGTGAAATAGAGACAGTGTGTGTGTGTCTGGGATGGCTGGCAGCCAGAAGAGGCTCCTACGTGGTGTATGGGTTTGGATGGGAAGCTTGCTGTGACAGCTGGGTTTGTCATTTTGAATAGAAATTCCTTCACATAGTTTAAAGGTTTCTTTAGGGAATCCCTGGGTTTGCAGATGGAGGCCCAACTCCTATTTGATTTTTTTGACTCTCGAAAAAGAGTCTAGGTAGACTGAGAACAGTGGTGAGGGATTTGAGGCCCAGGATGGAGATGTAGGAAAGCACAAGGTTGTTCAGACATGTTTTATTATTTGGTGGTATACTTAAACATCTTGCAGTTGAAATTGCTGAATTTTCTTATTGTGATCTTTTATTTTTATTTTTTAAATTTTATTTTATTGGTACATTTTAGGTATACAATATAATGACATTCATCATTGGAAATTTGCACCTTTACATAATCTCTCTTGGTTCTTATTTTCCCCCTT